CTTAAGATAATTTACGTCTTTGAATTCACTATATGTAGTGACTTCCCTCGCTGCCCACAATAAAACACCGAAAAGATTTCTCTCATTATTCAAAGAAATTAAAAAATACCGTATCAAGAGTAAATAGAAATTCACTAAGCAGGTGATGAGAAAGACCAAGATGGAGCGAGTAGAGTGCTCAGAAAAAGAGAAGATTAAATCAGATCCCGAAAGGGGAAGTTAATCATACGACTAAATTCTTTAGGTTGCGCAAACAGTAAAATAGTTAATTTAATAAGGACTGGCAATTGTGAAAATAGGTAACTCACCGTTAAACCAAGACTACTTGTTTTTCTCGCAACCCTTGGTGTGCCAGTTAGTGGGTACATATCTGCGGAGACAAAGCTGTACATACGGGGCTGCGCAAAAGAATCGTTGTAATTTTGCCGATCTGATGTATTCCACTTCTTTGAACTGTTTTTCGATCTTCTGTTTTGAAGCTTTGCGGGAAAATAAACAGATTTTAGTTTCGGCTAGAAATACACTTCATCTGAATTACATACAGTCTAAAGTAGAACTGATCTTTTAAATTGTAACCCCTTCGCCGGGGAGATTAAACTTCTCCCATATTATAGTGTTGAGAATCTGTCAGAAGTAACTGAATGACTGCTGTGTGTTCTAATCAAAATAACTATGTGATCCTTAGTTAATTTTGAAGACAGCAATTTTCAACTAAGTGTCGATAGAAATTTTTGATTGCATTGGTTGGGTTTTATCCACTCTATGCTCGAGCTACCTTCTCAGGCTATAAATGAAACCAATGTGACTTGCTTCTCGCGCTTAGTCGTGCTTAAGGCTGCATGGTGACCTCTCCCCATTTTTAATGATCATTGCCTCCTTCTGAAACTGCTTCTTTTCTTTGATTGACGATTATGATCACGATCCTCGATAAAGAAGAAAGCGCTTTACTCATTGACATTAAAAGCAGATAGAATCTAACTAAAAGCTTCTATAATTATTCGTTTACTAGAGTAAAAAATTTTATAGGACCGATCATTACTCACGATAAAAAACAGCAACAAAGCAAGCAAAAGCAGAATTATAATTCCAAGTGCGATCACAACCATAATCCACGGCATGCATGATCCGGGCTCAGGACATGTTGGACACGTTATAGTTTGTGTGGGACCAGCCACCTGCTTTACAGTTTCGACGGATATAGTGAAGTTTTCTGAGCCCCCTTCACCTTTCTCTATTGCCTCCTTCAGGCTGTTGGCATCAACATCCGTCGTAGACGTAAGGAAAACTGTAAAGTCGAAAATTATGCTTCCCTTCCGGAAGTTTTTCACCTCAATATAAAGTAAATTTTGTTCGTATTTCTCTTCGAGAATTCCTCTTAAATGTTTTTCCAGCTTGCCCTTAAGTTCTTTGTACTTATTCGATTTGTTATCTCCATATCTGCTTTCCCAAGGTTCCTCCACTTTGCCAATTCCTTCGAATTTTTGGGAGCTCTCTATTGAGGTCATAGAACAAATAAAAGACGCAAATTTCATCAGTAATGCCTGAGCTGAGTAATTTAAAGAATGTTTTAGATAAAGTGTTAGTTAACTAACGATACCTTACTATTGACATGATCACCCCTTAGCAACCATGTACAGAGGTCATGTGTGATACGATTAGGAGTCACCCTAGAGTCCCGGATGTTAGTATCTACTAAAACAATGGATAGCGTTAAAGGCCCACAGATCCGAAGCAAAGATGTTATTCCACAGATCTAAAGCATGGATGTTATACCACAGATCTGAAGCAGGGATATTATACATCAGATCAGGCGCCGATTGCTACAAGGGTGGATAACGCTATCCACTGGATAAATCTCTATCCGATGGACTGCGCAGTACGTTTTGCCAACATTTATCTGCTGTGTAGAGATTTAGGCGTGGGATAGCGTCTTTGAAAAAATAGGCCCTGAAGTGTTGATCATATACTATAGATCTGAAATATAAATGTTATACCTCAGATCCAGAGTATGAATATCGTGCTGCAAACATGAAGCATGGATGGCATTCCACAGTTCAAAAGTACTTATTCATTATAATTTGAATATATCAACAAATTTGAAATGGTAAATTGGCCACCGTTACGGTTATAAAAGCTGACGTTTCGAGCCTTTATTTACTTATTCATTATCTTACCTTTTGACGGTGTAGTAGGTGGTTGCGACGTCGACGACGTAGACACCATCATAGTTGTTGGTTTTGTTGTCGTAGATACAGTTTGTTTAATTAAACCTGATGATACCATTGACGAGGAAGGTAATCTTACAGTTGAAGATTGTGTTGACTGGATTGGTGATGCTGGTGGTGTCAATGACAATGATGATGTTGATTTTGTCACTGATGGTTGCGGTGTTGATTGGGTTGATGCTGAAGCTGATATCAATTGCGATTCTTGTTCTGATTGCAATGACTCTAATGCCACTAGTGTTGGTGATAATGATGCTAATGGTGATTCTGGAGGTGGTGCCGTTGATGATGGTGCTGGTGGCGTTGATGTTGAAGCTGACACAGATAATAATTTGAATATATCAACAAAGTTGAAATGGTAAATTGGCCACCGTTACATTTATAAACGCTGACGTTTCGAGCGTTAGCCCTTCCTTCGTCGCTCCGACGGACTAACGCTCGAAACGTCAACTTTTATAATCGTAACGGTGGCCAATTTACCATTTTAACTTTGTTGTTATATTCAAATTATCTACGGATGGATATACGTTCCCATCCTTTTCTCGCACTACATCGTCTAGTTGGCTTACAGATCTATAAACGTGTTTTTAACTGTTACAATCGTCATCACGAAATGTTCAAAACTTGCTGCAAATCATTGACAAAAACTTGTGAAACATTGACAAATTTGATCACAATTGTTGGAGACGGTAATAGTCATTTTGTATCAAACAATTTTTTTTCGGAATTGAAAACAGCTACATTGATGAAACGTTTTCTGTTGATTACCAAATTAAGGGTGTATAATTTTGCGCGATTGTGCACTATCGATTTAAGTCAATGCTTTGAATTTTCAAGCCACCAGGTTAAACAAGTTACTGAAACATAGCCTTTGTTCTCTCAGGAAAAAGTTAACTTTCATGCATGAGTAACATATTAATTCCCTTCAGATCATTCTAAAGGACAATTACCTGGGCTTTTTTTCAATTCTCCTCCACCACCAATCGGAGGCCGTTGGCGACAGATCAAACGGAGGTGGCCCAGCTTTCCCTAACTACATCGTCACAATGTAAAATAGGCACCCACGGTCTGCTTACGCAGAGCTCAACGTGTCTTTAACGGTTTCAGTTTTTACATTTTTGCGACTTCCTTTAAGGATGTCCTTTTTTTACACAGTATAATTTGGATATATCAACAAAGTTGAATTGGTAAATTGGCCACCGTAACGATTACAAAAGCTGACGTTTCGAGCGTTAGCCCTTCGTCGGAGCGAATGTCAGCTTTTGCTCAGCATTAGCCCTTCGCTCCGACGAAGGGCCAACGCTCGAAACGTCAGCTTTTGTAATCGTTACAGTGGCCAATTTACCATTTCAACTTTGTTGGTATATCCAAATTATTTTCGTTACTCCCACCGACGCAGCCCCAAACAGTTTCTTTCGAAACTATCAGCCTTTATTCGTTCTTTTTTACACAGGTTCCAAGGGCGACGTGAAAAAATTCTTTGCGACTTGTAAAAATATAAAAATATACTGAGATGTATAAGGTAACAAACAACATTAGGAAGTGTTCTAGTCAGATCCCCCTGCCTTGACTCAGTGATACGAAAAATTTATTTAGAAAATTTAACCTGTTCAAGTGAGTACTTCCGGTCTACAGCAAACGTTGACTTGTCTGGAGTGTTAATTGAAACTGAAACATTTCATCATAGGAATTAAGTTTCTAGACAGACTTTTTCTCACAGGAATTTCGAAATATGCTGATCAACCTCAATTGCAGTGGATAACTTCGCAGATAAATCATTTCTTCAAGCTATTTATGTATGTTCATGTCAACTTCCATGTTCTTTTGTTTTGAAGAACGCCTATGGATGAATTAAGTGCTTCATCAAAAAATACTTGCGTTCGTGTAAATTCATATAAATGGCTCTGAATTGTTTTGCGAGCAATCATTAATATTCATTTGGACTCACTAAACATCTAAATGGCTTGTGTCATCAGTCCTTTAGCTCTCAAAAGCCTTACGCCGCCGAATTGTCAATATGCGGAAATCAATTTTCCGGAAGAATGATTTTGGGTTACTTCGCAAAAGTCTCAACGGAAACGTTTATTAAAGAAACGATAACCCGCGTGTAAAGTGCTGGAATGATTTCAATGCAGCTAAAAACAAGTTAAACCCACACAGAACGGTTTGCAATCAGGAAATAAAGTATTACAGTTCGTCTGCATTAGTTTAGACTGGCGCAACAATAATCTCAAGCCCGGAAAACCAATAAGTCATAATTAATTGAAGCAGAGCGCGTGATCCGCATAAATAAAACCTTAACAGTTGTTTTGACACTTTGTGTTTTATACATGACTGCATTTAAAGTTCAGCAACATAAGCAGGTTCATGCGTTAAACCCCGGTTTGTATAATTGTTTGCGCCCAAACATCTTAGATTAAGGATATGTAGGAAATTATAAAAGTAAATCTTATTACGCAAATATTCAGATTTAATCAAGAACACCCGGGAAGAGTTTCATGTGTTTTGACCTTTAAATGTTTTCTTTGTAAGACTTGAAAGTCTTCCGCTACCAGGCTTAATAAAATACTGCTGACAAGGGCTCCTTGTTATCATATGTGTGTCAGAATTTTACTGAAGCCCTAATGGAACATCTGACCAGTTTGAATGTGAGAGAGATAAAAGACATGTTGCTTGTCAAGTGTATTCTGAACTGAAGGAAATCAGCTTGACATATTTCTGAAACGAAACTGCGCGAGAGAAAGCAAACATGAAAAGGTTTTCTATTTCTGCGTTCTTGATTAAAGCAGGCAAGGAATTTGTTTACCTTGTGAGCTTGTCGCGATCACACAAACTGTAAAANCATAAACTGTGCCCTGCATATATAAGTAACATCTTTAAAGAACCAAATAGTAATTACAATCTGCGGCAAGCAGATTTCTCTATACCTAGGTATGAGACAGTCACCTATGGCAAGCACTCTATTAGATATTTAGGGCCTAAGCTATGGACAAAACTACCCAAGAGTATCAGGGACGTCACAACCCTAACGTCGTTTAAAAGCAAGATACGCCAACTCAATATAAGTGAACTTTTAGATGATGGCTGCGCAGGCTGTAGCCTTTGTTCATTTTGACTTCTGTGTGTTTTTACTATAAATCTCTTAATAAGTTAACTATAGATATTTTATCTACTACTGTATTTAGTTTGTATATTCTCCCCTAATTGGTGTCCCCAAATTAGTAGGGGATTTGTTCCCTGGCTAGACGGTTTTTGACACTTTAATAAAGTTTCTACTACTTCTACTACTACTAGGTTCATTCGTGAAACCCCGGTTTGTATAATTGTTTGCGCCCAAACGTCTTAGATCAAGGAAATGTAGGAAATTATAAAAGTAAATCTTATTACGCAAATATTCAGATTTGATCAGAATTTTACTGAATCCTCAATGGAACATCTGACCAGTTTGAATGTGAGAGAGATAAAAGATATGCTGCTTGTCAAGTGTACTCTAAACTGAAGGAAATCAGCTTGACATTTCAGAAACGAAACTACGCGAGAGAAAGCAAACATGAAAAGGTTTTCTATTTCTACATTCTTGATAAAACAGGCAAGGAATTTGTTTACCTTGTGAGCTAGTCGCGATCACACAAACCGTAAACGACATGATCCACAGAAAAGTAACCAACAGAATGGTCCTCGTCTTGATCTGATCCATTGTGGCTCTTTACGGACGACCCCTCTTGAACGTTGTTCAATCACGTAGGTTGATGTTTTTCTATTCAACGATAACCTTGACTTTCGCGGAACGTGGAAAGTGTGCACCGCTGAGCACGCTTTCTACTAAAATCTCTTAAGTTTGCAAGAAACGTCAGACGGTAATTAATTCTAGTGACGAAAAAATTCCATTTAAATCATTGCTTGTCTAGACTAAGGCGTTCTAAATAGGGGCGTCTTTGTGTTTCAAGGGCTGACTGACTGACAAATTGTTTGTTTGAATGCATCGGTAATTTGGTAATTTTGGTTATATCAACTTGGGCGAATGTAACAGGGTTAGGTAACTTGATCGTACTAACTGTTTACCTTGGTAAAAGCTCACACGTAAACACAACATGAGTTGATAATGTAAATTGGTAATGTAAAGGGTTCCATTGGGTAGTTTGGAAAACATGGAATGCCGGAATTCCGGCCGGAATACCCGGAATACCCGGAATTCCCGGAATGACCAAAAAATAATAAATTGAAAAAAAAATTATCCAATAATTAAAAATAACAAGTGTAAATTAATAATTAAAAAATAGTTAATTAAAAAAGTAAAAATAAAGTGAAAATAAAAATTAAAAAGAAAAAAAAGAAAATCAGTTCTCTATAAGTAAAACAAAAAAAATGCAAAATTTTCTCTCAATAAAATGTAGAGACCACATGACGTAAAAAATAACTACCTATGGCACTGTTCACGGAGATACACACACTAGAACTATATGTAGCTTACAGCCTACAATATACAAACTGATGCCGAAGATTGCTTCAAGGTAAATAAATCAGAAATGTGATTTATAATTGACAGACCTCAAGCACTGTGGGTTCTAAGTGGAAAAGGGGATGTAAATACGATAAGTACTTGCCGAGCAAACCCAAAGTGCGACCGCACTTAAAATCTGTCAGCATAAGCATTTTCTAATGCCACCCAATTTTTGCGGTTTTCAAAAATTTTAAAAATTTTAGAAATCATGAAAGACGCCG